AAAAAAAAAAAAAAAAAAAAAAAAAAAAAAAAAAAAAGAAAAAAAAAATCATGTTTACGAGTTCACACGCTTGTGAAAGTTTAATCGCATAATCCTTAATAAGAGTTAATATTAACGTGAGATTGTAAATATACGCGAGAGAAAAATGTATTTCATTCATTACAATGTACCGTTATCTAATAAAAAGTAATGTGAGAATAATTCTTGGTTGTTCTAGATGCTGTTACTATCCACGAATTCCTTGCGCAAAAAGCGGCTTCTCCCCTAGAATCTGTAGATGCTAGTTATCCCAGTAAAGTAGTCGAGCAAGAGCAAGATTTGTCGCCAAGTGTCGAGAGACAAACCTATTCAGAGAAGAGGAAATTCTGGGAGGATATATCAAGGAAACGGGAAAGTTATCAGCGATCGGAATCGGAGGTGTCGAGAACCTCGCAGTTGACTATAAACGAGAGCGACAGCGAGTATATACAGAATGTAATCACCGAGGACACGGCAGACATTGGTCAGCAGCAGATCGACAAGTCTGAAACGTTGGAAGATTTGAACGTGCCCGATATATCCGAGTGTTCTGTGGCGGAGAAAGCGCAATACTTCGAGGAACAAATACAAAAAGAGACGACGAAACTTCCGCCCAAGTTGCATCAACAGGACTCGTTGAAATCTGAGAAGGAGAAGGTAACGAAGATTAAGATAAGCGAGAAGGAGAAGGTGGATAAGGATGAGAAGTATGTGACCGAACTGAAGCAGAAAAAGGTGGAGGAGAAGGGGGTGGAGATTGTTACGTTGCAAAAGGAAGAGCAGAAAGAAGGTGAGAAAAAGGAGAGAAGATTGTCTGATGAGGATGAAAAGGAAAAGGATGAAAGTAAATACGTGGAAGTAAGCGAGGTAACATCTATGGTGTCTGTGTCTGAAAAGGAATTGCGAAAAGAAAAGGAAGATTATGTGAAGCTTGATGAGATCGAAGTATCTGTAAAACCTGAAAAATTAGAGAAAGATATTGAAAGGTTAGAGTCTATGCCCGTTGTAACATCCGTGGAGAAAGTTGAGAAAATTACGATAGAAGAAAAAATGGTGGAACCATCGATGATTATCGAAGAAAAATCGGTTGATGAGATTAAACGAGTGGATGAAGTAGAGAAAATGAAAATTGTGGAGGAAACTCCTGTACTGATAAAAGATAAATTAGCCGAATTAAAAGTTGAAGGTGTTGTGGAGAAAGAAACAATTGTTATCACTGAAGTACCTGCACAAGATATCATAGAAGATGTAAAAATAAGAAGAGAAGAAGTACAAGAGTCAATTACACAAGTAAGTATAAAAGAAATGGAAGAAGAGAAACCGAAGGATGTTATAAAATCTGTAGAAGTAAGCGAGCAAAAAGAAAGATTAAAAGAAGAAGTAGAAGAGAAAGTGAAACTAATATCGGAAGTAAAAACGAAAGAAAAAGTTATAGAGAAGAGTGCAGAAGACAAGAAAGTGGAAGTGGAAAAATCTATTCCTGAAGTGAGTGTAGAAACGATAGAAGAAACGATAAAAGAAAAAGAAAAGGACGTCGAAGTTACGAAAATAGTTATTCATGAAGAAATTATAAAGAAACACGTAGAACCAGAAGTGCAAGAATTTATTGCAGAAATTGGTCCAAAAGAAAAAATCGAAATAAGCGAAAAGGAAAGTATAGAGCAAAAAGAAAAAGCAGAAAAGATTGTTACAGAGATAATTACACAACAAGAAACAGTGGAAGAAAGAATTGAAGAAAAAGAGAAAGAACCAGAAAAAATAGATACGGAAATATTTTTACGAGAAAGTATTAAGGAAGATCTAGAGCAGAAAGAAAAAGAAGAAAAAGAAATTGTAAAGCAAAAAGAGGAAAAGAAAGAGGAATACGTAGAAGAAATTACTACAGATATAAGCGATGAACTGAAAGAAATAGATACCGAGAAAAAGCAAGAAGAGATATTAAAATCCATTATAGAAAAAAAAATGGAAGATACGAAAGATGAAGAATTAAAAATGGAATCTGCGAAGAAAATAGAAAAGGAGGTGGAAGAAATTATTACAGAAAGGAAATTACAACGAGAGATAATCGCAGAAGCGGAAGCGAAACGAGAGAAAGTGCAAGATGAAATTGCGGAAAAAGTTGTGGAAAAAGAAGAAAAGGAAGAAAAGGAAGAGCAAGAAGTTGTTACAGATTTAACCGTCCGAGAAAGAACATTAACGCCAGAAACAAAAAGAGAGGAGATCATTAGAGAAAAAATGGGTGGAAGACGTATCATAACGGAGGAAACTACTATTATCTATAAGGTACAGAAAGATGGTACTCTGGTACAAGAACAAGTATTGAAATCCGTTCAAGTGGAAGGGGGAAGCGATGCTTTAGGCGGATTAACCCAAATGCCTGAAAGTAAAATCGAGACTAAGGTAATTCACGAGATAGAATCGATTGGCGATATTAAACCTGAGATCACTTTTTCAACGGATATTAAACAGGAGATGCAAAAATTTATGGAGGAAGAAAGAAAACCGGAAATCGAAGTTAAGGAGGAAATAAGACTGATTGAAAAAGAAAAATTGGAGAAAGTATTTCCTGAATCGATTATAAAGGAAGATAAAGAGGTTAAGGGGAAAAAAGAAGGAGAAGAAGAAGGAGAAGGAGAGTTAAAGAAAGGAGAGAAAGAAAAAATTTCACTGCACAAAGAAATAGTAACCGAAGTTGAAACGAAACAAGTTAAGAAGGAATTCGAGTCGCGTATTCCTATTTCAACAGCAAAGATGGACAAAGATAAAATTCAGAAAGAAACGAAGCTTAAAGCTACGATAGAAGAGAAACGTGTTCCAAGTAAACTCGAAATGGATAAAGAATTAATCATAGAAAAGGAAGATATTTCGCCAACGACCAGAAAGAAAGAATTCGAATCTCGAATACCGAAGCGTGTCGTGGATGTTAAACCAACGTCTGATAAAGCTGGAAAGAAGGATACGCACGTAAGAAAAGAAAGCGAATCGTACACGATAACGGAGAAGAAATCGAGCGAAGAAATAACTTCAAAATTGGAGGAACATTTAACGACGAAAAGTGAAACGCAAACATTTTCGAAAACTTTCACCGATCCTCAGCAAGCTTTCAAAATGTTCGAGGATATGGATAGCTTAGGGAAAACTAGTGAATTAGGGAAAACAGTGACGTCCAAGATCGATCATAAAACGTCGACCATGCTGGAGAAGAAAGAAATTGTATCCTCGGAGATTTCCACTGGCAAGGACAAGGTTATCACGCACGAGGAGAAGGAACGGGTGGAAAAGAAGAAATCGTTGGAATCTCAATTGAAGAAAGAGTCGCCGACCGAAACGTTGGAAGAGAAAAGCACTAAGCGTGAGGAATTGGACAAAACAGCGATTCAAAAATTGTCGATGAACTTGACGGACACTCAAAACATAATAGACGCGGCTGCGTCCGAATCGAGGGCTGAAACGAAAAAAGAGGAGATATTTAAAAAGTTATCGGACGAAGAGGGAGTCACGACTCAAGAGGCAGGTAGCAGTGTATCGAGAGAGAGCGATGCGGACGTAGCTATTCGAATAAAGAAAGAGATTCCTAGGAAAAATGGGTACGAGGAGGATGTGAAAGTGGTGGAGGGAAAAGCGACGGAAAGGATATCGAGGCCAGTTGCGGATACGGATCAAATCGAGACACTCGCTCAAGGGGAATCGCACAAAGAGACGAAAGAAAGTTTCAACGTTGTCCAATTCGTGCCGAGCGAGAAGAAGAGGATGAAGGAGAAGGAGAAGGAAGAGGAATTGTCGAAAGAAGAGAAAGAGGAAGTGACGCGACCGAGTGTAAGTTTGGAGGAGCAGCAACGGCAAAAGTTCAAAGAGATCGAGGCGCGTACCATAGCGGAAACTCTGATTCAATCGATCGAGAGCGAGATCGAAGCGAAATCAGCGGCGGATTTGAAAGCGGAGTTACTCAGCAAAGGATATTTGGAACAAATAATAAGCGAAAGCGTGGAAACGGATCACGAGAAATTGGCGGATGATTTGACGCGCAAATTCGAAAGTATCATGAAGAGGACGGCGCAGGAGAAGGGAAGGCGCGTGGAATCGCCGCCGAGGTTTAGATCGTCGATACAGGAGGAATCGTTGGAGAAAAGTTCGACCAGGGACAGTATAAGCGAGGACATAACCAGGGACGAGGAATCGTCGCCCCACGAGAAAGAAGAAAGTTTCCCCCTTTCATCGTCCCAGGCTAAACTCCAAGACAGAGATATTACCATGAGCCCCAGTAGCATATCCGAGCAGATAGATTTCGAAGAAACGATCGACGTGGATACGAACGAGTTGGAGAGCGTGTCGAAACCAACGATAAGCCCTCAATACGAGAAACAACGATCGAGCAGCCAGGTGAGTTTCCCTCCTGATAAGATGGTGTCCGAGATTTCGGGCGCCAGAGTTTTGGAAATACTGGAACCAGGTATGGACAGTCAATCCAGAGAAGATTCGGTGGACGTACCCTCGTTAGAGATGGACGAGCATAAAATATCGGAACAGACTAGCAGAGGAATACCATCGTTGCGCGAGAGCGCGGAAATGGATTCGTTCGAGAGGTTGGCTCAAGAACGAGATATCACGATCAGCCCTAGCACCGTATCCGAGGATACGAATATAGATTATTCTTTGGTGCAAGAGTCGTCTCATCCTATTGGAGGATCTCAAAGGGAATTGCCTATGATAAGCACGAAAAGAGCGGACAGTTTCGAAATCGAAAGTCCTCCGCTCGTCTCGCCGAAACCGAAGGTTCGTGGCCTCGAGATCATTAAACCTGTCGATTGGATGATCGGTGACGAGAAGATCGAAATATCGGAGACGTTGCAACCGTCTCAGATCTTTAATCAAGAATTGGAAGCGTACGAAACGATGATCAAGAAGAAGGAACGATTGTCCTCGTTGGACGGATCGACGGATCATGAACAGGAATCCGGCACTAAATCGTCGGAGGACATCAGTGTGATAGAATCGACGAGAGAGGCAGCGGTTGCGGTTGACGATCGTAAACCTACGAAATTCACCGTGATTCCCGTCAGCGAGCAAGATTTTGAAAACGAATTGGTGGAGAATAAGTTGGATGTTAGTTGTCAGGAATTGGTCGACACGTTGCAGCGCGAATACGACGCAAAAACGCCTATCGAGGAATACATGGAAAGTACTCAACAACAAGTTGTCGCGTCTACCGATGAAAAGCTGGAATTGGAAAAAGAAGTTTTGCAAGTGGAAAAAGAAGTTGTGGAAGAAGAACCTGCCGATAAAACTACGACCGAAGAGCAAAGGGTGGAAAAGAAAGAAGTGAAAGAAGAAGTAAAAGAACAGGTAAAAGAAGAGGTAAAAGAACAGATAAAAGAAGAAGTAAAAGAAGAGATGAAAGAACAGGTAAAAGAAAAGGTGAAAGAAGAAGTGAAAGAAGAGGTGAAAGAAAAGGTAAAAGAAGAGGTGAAAGAAGAGGTGAAAGAAGAGGTGAAAGAAGAGGTAAAAGAAGAGATAAAAGAAGAAATGAAAAAAGAGGTGAAAGAAGAGGTGAAAGAAGAGATAAAAGAAGAAGTGAAAAAAGAAGTGAAAGAAGAGGTGAAAGAAGAGATAAAAGAAGAAGTGAAAAAAGAGGTGAAAGAAGAGGTGAAAGAAGAGGCGAAAGAAGAGGTGAAAGAAGAGGCGAAAGAAGAGGTGAAAGAAGAGAGAAAAGAAGAAGTGAAAAAAGAAGTGAAAGAAGAGGCGAAAGAAGAGGTGAAAGAAGAGAGAAAAGAAGAAGTGAAAAAAGAAGTGAAAGAAGAGGCGAAAGAAGAGGTGAAAGAAGAGAGAAAAGAAGAAGTGAAAAAAGAAGTGAAAGACGAGGTGAAAGAAGAGATAAAAGAAGAAGTGAAAAAAGAGGTGAAAGAAGAGGTGAAAGAAGAGATGAAAGAAGAGAAGCCGATGAAGAAGGAAGGCGAAAAGATAAAGGAGGAGGAAATAGCGAAAGAAAAAGAAGAGACGAAGGAAGAGGAGAAAGCGAAAGACGATGGGTTGGTTAAACCTTTGAAAAGCGAGGAAAGTAAACAGGAGAGACTCGCGACAAAGCCGGAAATCGAATTGAAATTAGAGAAAACAACTGACGAGTTGAAGGAATGGACGGAAGCTTATTTGTCGAAGATAAAACCGTTGAGCGAAGATTACAAAAGGCATATGGAGAAAGCTACGGAGAAGCACGAGAGCAAGCCTGGAAGATCGACGACAGTTCCTTCCGACACTTGTGCCTTGAAAATAAAAAAAGATGATCTCTCTAGTGTTGATTTAAGTGCACGATACGCTATAACCGTTCTAGATCAGGTAGTTAAAAAAGAGATAGCCGAAGTGAAGGAGTCTTTAGAGGCGGCTAAGCAAGACCTGATAGAGGAATTAAGCGAAAATAGTGAAACTGTGATCCAAATAAAAGATTCCCCCTCAGAGTTCCGGTTTAAATTACAACCCGAATCCATTCCCAACGATTTACCATTTTTATACACACCAGCGTATCCTGCTGCTGAGCAAACCACCCACGAGTCGGATACCGAAGCGATAAAGAGGGAAGAATCCCCCGCTGATAAATCGCAATCGAAATTCGAGACGAAGGATACCGATCGAGGCGAAACGGAGACGATGGATGATGGATCCGGTGGTATCGAGGAACCGATACGTCAAACGCAAAAGGATACACCTGTGATTAAAACCGATAAGTCTGACGTAGAGACTGCTGTAATAACCGTCCACGAAGATACGAAAGACGAGGAGGAAGCCCGCGAAGAGGAACATCCTAGCCCCGTGCCTGCCAGCATGTCAGGCTCGGACATAGACAATAAAGACGAAAGTTCTTCTTTGGCTTTACCGCGCCCCGTACTTAGAAGACGCCAGAAACCCGGTAGAAGTGCTAAACGCATCACATCCGACAGCGACGCGGATCTCGGTTCTAGTTCCGGCGAGAGTAGTAATTATCAATCGTGCGACTACGAAATCGGTAGCGGTAGCCGACCTAGCTCTTCCGACGTGGAAGCGATGCAATCGTGCGGCGTACCTTCCGCCACTGCTTCGGAATACGAAACTGCGATGATGTCCGTCGAGCACTCCACCTCTTCCAAACCAACCTCGCAGGAGTATCAGACAGCGGCCACGACCATGAGCTCGCGCGAATCGATGAAGTCTTTGACCTCTTTGAGCTCCGGTCATCTCGGCAGCATTGACAGTACCAGCGAGTTGTCCGAGACTTTGGTAGCGTCCGAAGCGGATGCGGACAAAGAGGAGGAGGATGAGGAGGAGGAGGAGGAGGAGGAAGAGGAGGAGCGTTTGGACGGTGGTCTGGACGAGGAGCAGACCGAACAGTCGGACTCGTCCGGTAGCGATATACCGATCGACGAGCCGATGGACGATATCTACAATCGGGCACCTTGTCGTATGAAGCGATCGTCCGAAATGATCTTCCCTCAAGTCCTCGAGGCGGCCGCTCTCGAGGAATCGCCGGCCAAGGACACCAAAGGTGTAGATTTCGCCACGTCCACCTCGACCTCGGCAACGGGAGCTGGACCTGTTCGATCCGTCGATATAATGACGTCGCGAGTTTCCGAGGACGGGGTACAAAGTGTGTGCACTCAGGTGATTTCGACTCGAGGCGTGG